TCACATTTTTAGGTTAGTCTGGAAGAAAATTCTGGCACAGAAATTATTTCCAAAAAACTTCATTATTTGAGCCAATTTGATTGAAAAAATCACATTTCCAGGCCATTTAGAAGAAAAGTCTTACACATGATTTAGATCCAAAGATCCTAAGATTTCAGTGAACTTGGATAAGAAATGACATTTTCTGCATATTTTAGAAGGGAAATCTGGTGTAGGACTCAGTTCCAATAAGCCTCCAAATTTGAGCAGATTTGGATGAAAATATCACATTTCCAGGGGGATTTGGGGAGAAATACGCAGCATATGACTTAAATCCCCAAAACCTACTATTTATATAAATTTGGATTTTTAAAACTCATGTTTCTTATTCATTTGGGGAGAAATTTGACCAAGAATTTGTGTACCCTAAAACACATGACTTGAATGAATTTGAATGAAAAATGTATTTATTTCTGGGCAATTTTGTAAAATAATGTAGCATAGAATTTATGACCACATGTCCTAAAAACTTCAGCAAATTTAGATGAAAAGTTACATTTCTGGGTCATTTTAGAAAAGCCTGGCATAAGAATTATTTCTACAAACCCATGAGACTTAGTGAATTTGGATGAAAAATAATCCTATTTTCAAGACCATTTTGAAAGAAAAATATAGTATGGTATTACATCCAGAAAACCCTACTTATGCAAATTTGAAAGCAAATTGTCTTTGTGGGCCATTTTAGAAGAAAATTCTGCTGTTGGGCTTATATTTTTAAAAAAAAAAAACTCCACTGATTATTTGACTACTGGAGCTATATGGTAAGTTTTGAAATTTGGAAGTATAAGTTCTCCAACTTTTTTCTTGTAAAAATATGTACTTTGATTGCCTCTTTTTAACCTAAAACTTAGCACCCTGGACACAGTGTTCTCAGACTGTTTGTCCCATCCCTCCTCCCACTGATTAATCTTGGTGTTTTTTTTTTTTTGAGACGGAGTCTTGCTCTGTTGCCCAGGCTGGAGTGCAGTGGCCAGATCTCAGCTCACTGCAAGCTCCGCCTCCCGGGTTTACGCCATTCTTCTGAGCTGGGACTACAGGCGCCTGCCACCTCGCCTGGCTAGTTTTTTGTATTTTTTAGTAGAGACGGGGTTTCACCGTGTTAGCCAGGATGGTCTCGATCTCCTGACCTCGTGATCCGCCCATCTCGGCCTCCCAAAGTGCTGGGATTACAGGGTTGAGCCACCGCGCCCAGCCGGTGATTCTATCATATAAGTACATAGTGATGTTTCTCATTCTTTGTTATGACAGCATATTGTTCTATTTGTGCATGATTTTTATTTAATCAGTTCTACTGAACATGTTTTTCTTCGCTAAAATTTGAAATTACTCATGACTGCATTGAATAACTTATCTAAATCATTTTGCACATAAACATACACAGTTATTGGATAAATTCATTAAGTGAGATTTCGGGCTCAAAGGGAATATGAATTTTAAATTTTGAGAGATATTACCAAGTTGTCCACCAGAAGCCTTGTGGCGATTTGTATTCCCAAGACTGATGTATAAGTGTGCCTGTTTCCACCGTCTACAATACTATGTTCGAATTTTGTAGTCTTTGCTAATCTGGCAGGTGCAAATATCTCTGTGTGGTTTTCATTTGTATCTTGACTGATGTCAAGGATGTCTTCAAATGAAAGAAGACTTCTCTTCCTATGCTGTTATCTGTCCTTGTGTTTTTTAGTATCTTTTATTGTGTTTTTGATTTTTAAAATTTCATTTCTAATGGTATTATGCAGATAGGAAAGACAGCATCTCCATCAAGTTTGTCTTTTGTTTTGGCCGTAAGTGTGAATTGCCTTGCAGAATTTATTTTTGTATAGACAAATTTGACCTTTTTCATTATGACTTCGAGATTTTGAATCAGAAAGTCAGTCCTAGGTTATAAATGTGTTCCAATGATCCATTGCTGTATAACAGACAATCCTAAAATTTGAAGCTTAAAACAACTACTATCATCATGCCTCAGTTCTATAGGTTGACTGAGCTCAGCTGAATGGTTCTCACCTGAGGTCCCTCACTTGGTTGCAGATGTCACCTAGGGTTTCAGTCATCTGAAAGGTCTGACAGGACAGGCCTCCAAAATAGCTCTCCCATGTGACTGGAGTTGAGGCTCACTGTTGGCTAGCTCAGCTATGGCTGATTACCAGAGTACCTCCATAAGTCCTCTCCATGTGACTAGAAGTTTTCACAGCATGGCAGCAGGGTTCAAAGTGTAGAAGCTGTAAGGCTTCTTATGAACTAGTCTCAGAAGTCCCATAATATCATTTCTGCTACACCCTCTTGATGAAGCAAGTCATTAAGACCAGCCCAGATACATGGGGAAGGTAACAGGACACCCCTCTTCACCCCATCTCATAATATAGATATAGGGAGGGAAGGAATTGATTATGTCCATCTTGGAGACAATTTCCACATATCCATTCCATGTGAAGTATATACTCATCCCTCCTAAGATGCCCCCAAAGTCTTATCCCACTATGGCATTGGCTCAAAGATCGGGATCTCATTCTTTGAATCAGGTCAAGGTGTAGATGATGCTTTATCTGAAGACCTGGGAACCAAAGAAGCATATCTAACACCCAGTGTAGATTCAGAGATAACTATCCCTGAAAAAGTGCTTCTATCAAAAAATGGTGAAACAGCAGGTACTGCTTCATAGAAATGCAGCAGTTCAGCTGGCACGTGCCACCAGTTACCTTTGTAGCACAGTACTGCCCGTGAGAGTGATTCTCCATGATGTCTGCAGTCCAAGTTATTCCTCATTTTCCATGAGAACTGGCCTGTGCTTGCAGCTTAGTAGGTTTCTCACCCTGCCTTCCTGCCCATAGAAAGAGGTAGGGGCTTTTGTGTCCTTTTCAGAGCAAGCTGGTGTTTCTGTTACAAATGTCATGGGTTTCCTATGCCTCTTATTGAAGCTCATTCCATTAGACAAAACCCATATCCACAAAGCTCTTCGAGACAAGCCCCTCATTTGGGTTGAGTGTCAAGGTGCTATGGGATGATTCCCTTAAAATTTAGCACCATTTTGTGTACAGTCTAGAAGCCACACACTTAAATATTTCTGAAGTCTTAAAAAGGGGTCTTACAGTTGTACCCTTGAGATGATCTTTACCTTGAAGGACACTTATTTTGAGCAAAACCACACACTGGAGGAGGTATGGTTAATAATATTTACATAGGGTTAAACACCTTAAGCCCTGAGATAGGATAACTATTGAGACTATGTGGCTGAAAGACCTTAGACCGGTTACCTGATGACTGACATGGGGACTGGGTCCCGGGATAGAGGAGCATGATTCAAAGTTCTAAACACTGGTATTACAGGACTGATTGAGGAATGTGGCTTCAAGGGTTTAATCCCTGTTACTGGAGGGCTGAGGAAGACACATGGGTAAAGATTGTCACATACAGTCAAGTGTTGCTTAACAAGAATATGTTCTGAGAAATCATTAGGTGATTTAGTCATTTTGCAAACACTGTAGAGTATACATACACAAATTTAGATGGCATAACCTGCTATACACATGGGCTACATGGCATAGTCTATTGCTTCTAGGCTATAAACCTGTGCAGCAGGTTACACTGAGTACTGTAGGCACTGAGTACTGTGGGCAACTGTAACACAATGGTAAGTTATTTGTGCATCTAAACATAGAAAAAGTATGGTAAAATACAGCATAAAAGACAAAAATATGGTACACCTGTACAGGACACTTACCATAAATGGTAAATTGCAGAACTGGAAGTTGCTCTGGGTGACTTTGTGCATCTAAACATAGAAAAAATAAGGTAAAATACAGCATAAATGACAGAAAAAAGGTACATCTGTATAGGACATTGACCATAAAAGGCAAGTTGCAGAACTGGAAGTTGCTGTGGGTGAGTCAGTGAGTGGTGAGCGAATTGAAGGCCTGGGACATTACTATACACTACTACAGACGTACATACTGTACCCTTAGGCTCCACTCAATTTATTTTTAAACTTTTCTTACTTCAATAATAAATTAGCCTTAGCCTGCTGTAACTTTTAACTTTATAAGCTTTAAAATTTTTTACTTTTTGACTCTCTTGTAACTTAGCTTAAAACAAAAATATTGTACAGCTGTACAAACATATTTTTCATTTTATCCTCATCCTATACGCTTTTTTCTATTTTAAAATTTTTAATTTTTTTGTTGTTGTTGTTGTTAAAAACTGTAAGACACAAGCACACACATTAGCCTAGGTCTATACAGGGTCAGGATCCATAGCACTGTCTTACCCACCTCTGTATCTTGTCCCATTGGGAAGTCTACAATGCCACTAGGTGACAGGAATTTTTCAGCTCCATTATAATCTTACCAGCCCACCATTGTATATGCAGTCCATCGCAGACAAACATTATGCACTGCCTGACTGTAGTTACGGAGGTGCTGATGAGGTGGTATAGCTGGGGGTGGTTGGAGATTATCCATTTTCTTGGTGGTCTGATATGGGTGTAACTGAGATCCAAGGCTCTGCTTGGTCACAGCTGCAAGACCAGGCCCTGGGACTGGAGTGCTGAGGACAACGTATTGGTGAGAGGGCCCCCGATGGAAGGACCAGGGACTAAAAAAGTCTGAGAAATGTAACAAAGGTAGTCAGGGGCAAAGGCAACAACAGAGATGTTTGAAAGCTGGGAGGAGAGAAGCAGGAAAGGGGGCTGTCAGAGCCAAGGGATGGGGGTAGCTGCAGATGGAGCTGGACTAGAGGAAGTCACATTTTCTGGAAGATCCCCTCCCCTCCTGTGAAATCTCTTTACATAGTTCCTAGATTCTCTTCCCATACAAAGGACCAGTCTTTCCAATAAATCTACAAATGATTTGGTTCTTGTTTTCCGAGGAAATGAATTCCTGTGGAATAGCGGACTTAAGAGTTTCAGATGTCTGTATCATTCCCTATCCCTGTTATAGATGAGTGAATGAAGGACACAGGCACGGTTACAGATGTATAAAGAAGCCAAGTTTATTACAACCGAAGGCCACAAAACATGGAGAAGACTTAGTGTGGGGAAAGTAAACAGTTAAACGTCCTTTGACCTCTTACAGAATGCATTTCTCTATTTCATCAAAGTGTCAACGTTCTGACTGTTAGTCCTTGTCCCCATCTTTGCCTTCAGAGAGAGTATAAGGAATCGGAAGGTTGCCCCGCACGCGGCTCAGGGTCAGGATGCAGTGGCAGTCTGTGGTGCACAGACTTGGTCTTCCTGTGTCTGCTGAGGTGAGACTTGAGGCTGAAGCCCTGCCCACACGTCTTGCACACATACGGCTTCTCTCCCTTATGTGCCATTTGGTGTAAGGTGAGGTGTGACTTTTGGAGAAAGCCTTGGCCACACTCTCTGCACACACAAGGCTTCTCTTCCAAGTGAGCCCGCTTGTGTGTGATGAGAGCTGACTTATTGCCAAAGCCCAGTCCACACTGCCTGCACATGTAGGGCTTCTCCCTCGAGTGCTTCCGCTTGTGCCTGATGAGACCCGCCTGGTGGCTAAAGCCTCGCCCGCACTCCCGGCACACATACGGCCTCTCCCCTGAGTGCGTCCTCTGGTGTGCAACAAGGTTTGACTTCTGGCTGAAGCCTCGCCCACACTCCCCACACACCATGGGCTTCTCCCCTGAGTGCGTCCTCTGGTGTCTGATGAGGTTGGATTGCTGGCTGAAGCCCCGGCCACAGTCCTTGCACACAATGGGCTTCTCCCCTGAGTGTATGTTCTGGTGTCTGTTGAGGTGTGACTTGAGACTAAAGCCTCGCCCGCACACCCCACACACATACGGCTTCTCCCCGGTGTGCGTCCGCCTGTGAGAGATGAGGGTTGAATTCTGGCTGAAGCTGTGCCCACACACCCCGCACACGTAGGGCTTCTCCTTTGAGTGTGTCCTCTGGTGATTGACAAGGGTGGTCCTCTGCCTGAAGCATCGCCCACACTCCTTGCAGGCGTAGGGCTTCTCCCCAGAGTGCGTCCTCTGGTGGGAGATGAGGTTTGACCTGTCGCTGAAGCCCAGACCGCAGTCACTGCACACGATGGTCTTCTCCTCCAGGTGTGTCCTCTGGTGTCTCACGACAGCCGACTTCTGGCTGAAACCTTTGCCGCACTCCCGGCACACGTAAGGCTTTTCCCCGGAGTGTGTCCTCTGGTGTATGATAAGGTTTGACTTCTGGCTGAAGCCTCGCCCACACTCACTGCACATGTAAGGTTTCTCGCCGGAGTGTGTCCGCTCGTGTATGATTAGCGTTGACTTCCTGTTAAAGCCTCGTCCACACTCGCTGCACACAATCGGCTTCTCCCCCGAGTGTGCCTTCTGGTGTCTGGCGAGGCTCTTCTTTAGGCTGAAGCCCTTCTCACATACCCCGCACACGTAGGGCTTCTCCCCTGAGTGTATCCGCTGGTGACTGAGCAGGTTTGTCATCTTGCTGAAGCTCAGTCCACACTCTCCACAGTTGACTGTTCCAAATCCTAAGACTTCTATCCTCTTCAGCAATTTGTCTGTTTCCTCAGGGTTCCCCGTCGGCGCTGGGCTGGCTTCTAACTCCACCCCTCTGAGGCTGTTCCGAGAGGTGACTGGCTGCCTCTGGGGTGGCCTGGAGAACGCTCCCAGAGTCCTTTTCTTTGTTCTTCCAAACAAAGGCCTGGCGCCTTCTCCCCCGGGACCTTCTGCTTCATCACTCCAGGGTCTCCCCTCAGAGGCTTGTGGCTGCTTCTGCTCGTGCCCTGGGCCCGGATCCCCAGGCTGGACGTCACCTTCTGCACACAAGCATGTGAAGATCCAGGGGGGATGATTACACAGCACATGCTGCATGGGGAATTTCTGACTGGAGAAACCAGGAGGGCAGAAAGGATCGAGGTAGAGTTCTGGCTCTGGATCTGCTGCAGAGAGAAAAGTGTGAGTCACAACTGAGTTCTCAGTGGGCAGCCTGAGCAATCAGCTTAGTCACATCCCCTCAGTTTCAAAACACTTACGCCTTAAGTGCCATCCAACTGGGACTTCCTTGACATGGCCTCCTCTCCAGCCTACCACTACTTCTCACGTCTTCCATTACAATCTAAAAAACCCACTGGTAAGACCTGTTCTACATATCAGACTATACAAGCATCCCTGGCATTTTTGGGTGTGTAAATAGGGCCAGTATGGAACAGTTTCCCTTCACCTTCAATACAATGAATTATCTTCTAACTCACAACCACCCACAATGAGATAAATCACGTCCACAAGTACTTTTTTCTGTGATGGAAAGATGTCTAACACCAGGACCCACGTGGAAACGTCCTTCCTTATTTCCCTATGAGCACAGGGGGATGGATTGAGAAAGCAGTTATTTGGAGTGAACAGAGAAGCCTTGGTACAGGGAGGAGCATGAGAGGCTGGTGAAACAGTATGTGACACACCCGAACTGCTGTCTCCCCACTCAAAAAAGATTTGTTAGATTACTCTACGCCAGAATTTCTAGGAGGCAGTAGGCTTTCAGCAACAGACAACACAGAGCCTGGGCCCCCAGTGACTTAAAGGATGCTCCCTCCTAGCACCCCCAACCCATTTCCATAATTAGTGTAAATAAAATGTTCGCCAAACATCAGTGTAAAAGAAGAAATTTCTACTTATAGTACCTCTTGTGCAGGAGATGTCAAAATTGATTATATTGTTTTATCACAACAGGGTCTAGTCAGCAAGGCAATCAATGACCAGGCAATATGAGTAACCAGGTAGAGATCTCAATGGATGTACCCGAATGCTTTTTTCTTGGCCAATGAACAATCAAGCTTATTAAAACTGTGTACACATCCACATTCCAGAATTATGCCACGCTACACGAAATGCTACTTTTCAATCCTAATTACAATGAGCAGAACCACCTTTTCCTAATACTTAAAAATTCCTGACTCTTCCTACTCAGCAAACTGCCTAAGTGAATGTCTTCCCTTCTGTGTTTCATTGCCTGGCCAGCAAATACGCTCACCTTTTCTCCTTTCAGTAGCTCTGGTGGCCTTTACCTCAGGCTTTGATGACAGAAGGGGGAACCAACAATCTAACCTGATGCCACCCTCTCCCCATGCCAGTGCTGAGCAGCTCCTGCAGAGAAAGCCTGCTCTTCCAGCCCTTGTACTCAGGACAGGTGCCCGGTGGTCCCTCAAGTCCCTTTCTCAGCAGTAAATCCTAGCTGCTTTCACTGAGTTCTCACTAAGTGTTTTGGTTTAATCTAGGTTGCCTGAGGTTCCACAACTCATAACTGATTTTGTGTTTCTATTTCTGGCCAGCAACTTCCTTGAGATTATGGAAACTTGAGTTGGACTGTTGTCAGATTTGATTTATTGGCTGTTCTGTTTCTCTTGAATATGATAGGAGAAGGAAGCAACTCCTCTTATCTCCTTGGCTTACCTTCATACATATTAGAGCATAGTCATGGGTAAGTAGGTCTTTCAGCAGTAAAAGGAACTCCTGTGTCTGCCCTGAGTTAAGCACAGTGACTATGATTTTGACACAGGTAATACCTCCCACCCACCCATATAAGAACCAAGGCTTCTAGTATGTTGGCTTATTACAGCCCTAACTGCTGTGCCTATTTGTAAAGTGGCAGGCTTTTATTTACACAAAATGTATTTCAGAATTACTGAAGCGCCTTCAGATAAATCTCAATTCAACATGGTTTTAATACTCATATGGAGTGACAGAAGAAAAACAAAACTTTAATTCTCCATTAGTCAATTTTTTCAGTTGGTCACCAAATCTGCCATTCTGTGTACACACTAGGAATATTTAGTCTGAGAAGAAATTTTAACACAAAATATTACCAGGTTAATTAATTTGTTTATAAAGTATTTTAAATCTAAGGTACTCCTGTACTGATAGGTTTGTAGAGACTAATGGGTACTGACACAAATTTAAAATTTAAAAACTCGAGAATAACAAAATTAAAAAAAAATCAGGCCAGGCGTGGTGGCTCACGCCTGTAATCCCAGCACTTTGGGAGGTTGAGTCGAGTGGATCACTTGAGGTCAGGAGTTTGAGACCAGCCTGGCCAACATGGTGAAACCCTGTCTCTACTAAAAATATAAAAACTAGCTGGGTGTGGTGGTACACACCTGTAATCCCAGCTACCCAGGAGGCTGAGGCAGGTGCCTGAACCTGCATGGCAGAGGTTGCAGTGAGCTGAGATTGTGCTACTGCATTCCCGCCTGGGCAACAGAGCAAGAGTCTGTCTCAAAAATAAATAAATAAATAAATAAAATAATAAATAAATAAAAAGTAAAATTGAAAATTGAATTCCTAATGATTTAAATATGCCAGTTTCTGCAGGAAATCTTTCTTGCTGCAGCTGAAGCTCTGGCTCTGAAGAAAAAAGTTTAGCTGTGAATTAAGCCAGGTACCTTGGTTATTAGGTCACACTACAAGAAAGAAATGTGAGGCACTCAGGGCTTATAGACTACAGTATGTAAATGACCTTACTAGCTGGTATGTAACTGTAAAGGGTGGAATCAATATTTCAAAATAAGATAAAGCCTGTAAATTAGACAGATGCAATGTCTTTTCCCTTATTTTATCAGTGTAAATATAACATTAGCATAATATTCTAGTGATATAAAACTTAGTTCTGATATGTAGGCTTTCTCAAAGAAAGTTTAACTAATCTAAACTTCCAAGACTAATATATAGGTTCAGCATCCCTAATCTGCAAAATTCAAACATTTGAAAATCTTTAAGCACCAACATGCAGCCACAAGTAGAAAATTCCACAGCTGATCACATATGACAGGCTGCAGTCAAAACACAGGCACATAAAACTCAGTTTATTCAGCATCCTTAAAGGAAAAATATAATTACCTTCAGGCCATGTGTATGAGGTGTACACAAAACATAAATGAAATTCCTGTTTAGACTAGGGCCCTATACCCAAGGTATCTCATTATGTATTTGGTAATATTTCAAAATGCAAACCAACCCACCAAACAAAAAAAACCCCAAAATCTGAAACACTTATGGTCCTAAGCATTTTGGATAAGGGATACTCCACCTACACTGATTTTAAAAATCAGTATATTGCATTCATAAATATTTAAGATTAGGCAAATGTAGATATATGTGTCCAACTAGTATCTTATAATTTACAGACAGTGCCAGAAATTATGTGAATCTATAATTACTTTACTCAAAGTAAATACCAGAAATGGCATATTTTTCAGGCAATTTTTAACTTAAGACTGATTATGTTGTTTTTCAATTTCTAAGATCTCTGTTAGGAAATCATTATAAGAATAAATATTTTTGTTAAAAAATTCAAAAACAAAACTATACAAAGTGTTCCCATGCAATAATTTTACTTGTATTTTTGCCTAAAGTAATGAGATCAGCCTTATGTTAATTATTTGAGACTAAAACTTTAAATACCGTCTATCAACACTATATATGCTTAAAAACATGTACAATTATTTAGCTTGCCAATAAACAGAAAAAAAAGCTTAAACTTGACAATAATACTGGACACTAAAAAAGAATTATAACTTGGTGTATTTCTGTCCTCCATATGAAAAATAACTAATTTTTGTCTTCTGTATACTCAACTTAGAAATACAAGCTCTATTTTTACTTCACCAGATTTTCAATTTCTCATTCTTTATTTTTTAAATTTTTTACAGATAGGATCTCACTCTGTGGCCCAGGCTGAAATGCAGTAGTACAATCATAGATCACGCAGCCCAAACTCCTGGGCTCAAGCAATCCTCCCTCCTCAGCTTCCTGAGTAGCTGGGACTACAAGCACATACCATCTCATCCTGGCTAATCACAAAAAATTTTTTAGAGACAGAGTCTTGCTACATTGCCCAGGCTAGTCTTGAACTCCTGGCCTCAAGTGATCCTCCTGCCTTGGTCTCCCTCAGCCTCCTGAGTAGCTAGGAATACAGATGCAAGCCACAGCTCCTGGCTTTAATTCTCATTCTTATGCTTCTGTGTTACCTCTTACCAGGCTTCTTAGTCAATCTAAATAACAAAGATTATTCACTTCAGGAGGGTATATAATTCTTCATAATTATAGTAACTCCTGTTACTTTTAAAAAACTAATTAATTTTTAAATTGACAAATAAAAAATGTATATATTCATTGTGTACAGTTTGAAATATATATACATTGTGACATGGCTAAATTGAGCTAATTAACATATGCATCACCTCACATACCTATCATTTTTTGTGGTGAAAACACCTAAAATCTACTCTTAGTGATTTTCAAGAACACAATATATTGTTATTAACTGTGGTCATCATGTTATATAATAGATCTCTTGAACTTACTCCTTCTATGTGAAAATTCTCTGACCAACATCTTACCCAACCACTCCCATCCCCTCGTAACCACCATTCCATTCTCTGCCTCTATGAGTCCAAGCTTTTTAGACTGCACATATAAGTAAGATTGTGTGGTATTTGTCTTCTGTGACTGGCTTATTTCACTTAACATAACATCCTCCAGGTTCATCCATGTTGTTGCAAATGATTCTGTTACATTTATTGAATTAGCATTCTGATCAATGAAACAGCCAAGAAAATTCAATGCTTTTCTTGTAACTAGCCTATTTTGAGGATTCTGATATAGACTGTCTTAAATCCAAGTCCCAAATATAGAATAATGAAACTGTTAAGATGTATTTCACACCTAGAACAGTCTTCTTCCCATTACACATATATTTTGGGTTTCCAAGACAGCTTCCTGGGCAACCACAATGACTTGCTTCTTGGATTGTACAGCATTTTTTTAAATGTATTCAACATCGTTGTGAGAGCTGCTGTTTTTCTTTAAATTAAAACAAGGATTAAAAACAAGACACAAAAAAGATAGGTTTCACTTTAAGACAATGATAGGTAAGCTGCTTGTTATTAATATAAATGTTTCGGTAATTCTATACTTTTCAGGTTGAGAAAAACACATATTTGTGTAAATGTACAAAGGTCAGGGTGTACAGCATTTTCCCAGCCTCCACCTGCCAATTCTAGAATGAACACACAAGTCAGATAATGCCCCTACATCCTCTCCTTCTCTGTCCAACATTCCCTCCATGTCCTTGGCTAGACCTATCTCTGTTGTCCCTTGAGAGGAAGATTTCTGTAAGATTCCCTCAAGTAGATAGACAGCTTCTTCCTCTTATATCTCAGCACTACAGAGTGGGATGAATGTCCTTGTTTTGTAATGTGGCTTCCACACCAGTACCTACCATACTTCTTTTAGGATCATCCACAGGCCTCCTGGTTTCACACATTGCCTTGAATATTTGATCACCCACCAGCCTCACATCCTCTCCACACCAGTACCTGTGAGCACTCTCAGGGTGCTCCACAGGGCTGAGCCTCTGGCTAAGACTCCAACTTCTTAGCAACACTGACCTCACCTGCACTGTGAACGCTGTTCACAGACACTGCACAATCTTCACATTCTCTCCTGTGCACATTCCCTTCACTGACACAGCCTTTTCTTCTATCTTCTGACTCACTTTGCTCAAGCATCATGGGCACATTGGTTCCTGACCTTATTTGGGGCTCCAATCCATGACCTTTCAGCTTATACACCATCATACTTTACTCCTTCATACAACTGAGATCCAATGGACTTATATATCCAACTGACCTTTTATGGAACTATGGATTCAGTGGAGAGTCTATGAAACCATTATGGTGCTCTCAAAAGGATGCTGTTATGGGCTGAGTTGTGTTCCCCCCAAATTCTTATGTTGAAGCTGTAACCGCTAATGTGACTGTATTTGGAGACAGGGCCTTTAAAGAGGTAATTGAGGTTAAATGAGGTCATAAGGGTGGGCCCTAATCCAACGGGGCTGGTGGCCTTTAAGAAGAGGAAGAGACAACCAAGATGTGTGAGCATAGAGAAAGGGCCCTGTGAGGACACAGGGGGAAGGCAGCCATCTATAAGTTCAGGAGTGAGGCCTCAGAGCAACCAAACCTGCTGACAACTTGATCTTGAACTGCTGGCTTCCAGAACTATAACTAAATGAATTTCTGTTGTTTAAGCCACCTGGTCCATGTTATTTCGTCATGGCGGCCCAAGGCGACTAATACAGATGTTTTACTTCCTTTGCCCTGACCTTCCTTCTTTCCTAGCGCTGCAGTAAAACACCTACTCATCGGCCTCAGTCAACCCCTGAGCAAGTCTCATGAAATTTATCAGTTATTAAGTAAACATGAAAGGCCAAAGTCCCTATTAAAAGTTAACACCACTTGGTTTGACAGCAAATGCAACACCAGCTACATGCTGCTGCTTAACAGCAAAACACCCAAATGACATTGTTTTCATTTTAAAATAAAAGGATGAACAATAAAATAGAAAAGTATGCACAAGAAAGTATGGTGCTAAGACTAAAAAGAAATAAAGAGGAAGTTAAAGGAAAGAATAGCTCATGGAACTAAGAGAATTTCAGTATTAAAAACTTCATTAATGAGTAAGATACAAATATCCTGAACCTTACATACCTAATAGAACAATAAAGTAAAATATAACACAAAAACTTAGAAATAAATGGAGAAGTTGATATAAATTACAAGGACTGTGGAGAGTTTTAGGACTCCTTCTAACAGATGAACAGTAAGGATACAAGCTAGTTGAAAAACAGCAACAATTTATATTATATGTGCTATAGTCCCTCAACTCGAAGACAGAATTAATCAATTTAATAAAAACAAGAGGAGAAAATTTCTTACCCAGAAAAAGAAAATATATACTTCTGTGCAAACATTTATAAAATTGTCAAAAGAATTTTACAAATTAAAACAGATATATGATTTCTTAAAGTTATCTATGCCTTTGTCATTTAAAAATAATGCAAAGTAGGATGAAAAATTCTCAGCAGCTCCTTGTCCAACTCTCCCCAATTCTGTCCCCACAGGGGTAACCACTAGTATGGTGTAACCACTAGTAATGGTGTAACCACTAGTATGGTGTAACCACTAGTATAGTGTAACCACTAGTAATGGTGTAACCACTAGTATGGTGTAACCACTAGTATAGTGTAACCACTAGTAATGGTGTAACCACTAGTATGGTGTAACCACTAGTATGGTGTAACCACTAGTAATGGTAAGTAACAACAGACTTCTATGTTCACATAAACATATGGATATATACTCTTTCATATACTTCTCTTTAACAACAAACTCAACTGCGTAATATACAAAGTCCTGTAACTTTTTCACTTAATAAGGTATCCACTTAGTGTCTGATTTAAAGAAGATACAGTAAATTTTGATTATATTTAGTGAACAGATAGGAAATCTCACCACAAAGAAAAGTGTAGTAAAAGTGAATGGAAATTGCAGAACTGAAAAATAAGTGAAATGAAGGATTCACTGGCCAGAGCTTAGCATATTGGAAATGACAAATGAGACAGTAAACTTGAAGACAGACCAACAGAAATCATCCAGTCTAAAGAACAGAGAGAAAAAAAAGATTTAAAAATAGGGAAAGGATCTATAACCTGTGGGATTATATAAAAAGGACTAATATATATGTGCCTATAGTCCCAAAAGGGGACAGAGAGAATCAGGAAGATAAAAACATGTAAAGGAAGAATGGACTTAAGGCAGTCACATCACTGTGAAACTGCTGAATACCGAAAGTCCGGCGAAAAGTAGCCAAGGAAATAAAGGTAAATTATGTTCATGGTGACTTCTCCATCAGAAACAGGGACAGGCAGAACAATGGAATGTTATGTTTAAAGTGCTGAAAAAATAACCAATGTAGAATTCTACATCTAGTGAAGATACACTTCAAGAACGAAGGCAAAATAAAGACACTTTCAGAAGCAATAGAGAACACATTGCCACCTGTACCATTTGTCCTTAAGGACAAATGAAGTCCTTAAGGTTCAAGAGGAATAATACGAAAGGTAAACTCAGATTTTCAAACAAAAAAAAAAATAGAAAATGATAAATTACCTGGATGAGTTAAAGACTATTTTTTCTCTTAATTAAAAAAATACATGGTAGAAAACAAATCCATGTGAGTATTTAAAACCAAAACCAACATTTTAACATTGTAATAAGGAGTGTATAATACAAATGACAACTATAGCACAAAGGATGTTGGGAGGAGGGGGTGATTGGAATTGTGCAATTGCAATGCTCTTACATTTTATATTTTACCCAGATTAAGTATTGAGAGAATATAAAAAGTTAAGGCTATGTCTTATACTCCCTTAGAGCACGAGCCAGCAAACTTTTTCTTAAAGATAGTAAATAGTTCAGGCTTTGATGGTTAAGTGGCAAAATTAAGGATGTTATATAGATATTTATATAACATTATAAAATGTAAAAGCCATTCTCGAATAGCTCACAGTCTTTTTAGAATTCCATTTCAATTTCTCTATTGGTTTTTTACATTTCTTCCTTCCACTGGGTTTGCCTTCTTTCTTTAGGTCACAGTTGTTTCCATATTCTTGATGATCTTTTTTAAAAACAGTAACAAGAGAAAGAAGTCCATGACTATGAAAGAGAACTGAGTGAGCCAGAGAGGAGAAACCCAGTGGGAGGAAAAACAGCTTCCTAGCGGAGGAAGGAGACAAGAGACACCAGGAAAGCCCCATCCATACTCGGATGAAGATGGAGATCTGGAAGGGAGGCCGTGTCAGGCAATCTAAACAGCAGCCCGGGAGGTCAGGGGAACAACTTCCTCCTCAGTACCTGAGCAACGCCTCCTCTCCCCCAGTCCTGAGCTGCTGAGCTCATGTCTCATCCACCCAGTGTTTTCCCACTCACCTGGACAGGTAGCCGGTGAACAGTTTTTCTCCTCTCTCCAGGTCTCTTTCCCTTGCTCCAGCTGGGTGATGAGTTCTGGTTTAGAAAATGAAATTCCTGCTCACAGGAAAAGAAAATAAGGTAACTAGGTTATGGGCTCAAGAGCCCATTTAAGAATTCAGAGCCAAACAGCCTAGGAAACTTCAGAGGTAATACAAAGCCCTGAGTTGGAAGGGGTGGGTGGGGCTCTCAGAAATGGAAGGGATGAGTGGGCAGCGAACTCCGATGAGAGTACACTGGGCTGGACGCGGTGGCTCAAGCCTGTAATCCCAGCACTTTGGGAGGCCGAGACGGGTGGATCACGAGGTCAGGAGATCGAGACCATCCTGGCTAACACGGTGAAACCCCATCTCTACTAAAAAAATACAAAAAACTAGCCGGGCGAGGTGGCGGGCGCCTGTAGTCCCAGCTACTCGGGAGGCTGAGGCAGGAGAATGGCGTGAACTCGGGAGGCGGAGTTTGCAGTGAGCTGAGATCCGGCCACTGCACTCCAGCCTGGGCGACAGAGCAAGACTCTGTCTCAAAAAAAAAAAAAAAAAAAAAAAAAGAGAGTACACTGATTCTATTTCATGCTGGGCAGATGAACACCCCCTCTCATTTAAAACAAGTTAACATAGGATGAGAACCCCAGTCTGAGAAAAAAGGGCTAGAAATGCAGAGTAGCACACACAATACACATATGTACACATACAACAAAATCTACTCATTTTCGACTCTGCAAAATCAGACCCTACCCGGGAAAACAGGAATAAAATGGCGTTGCTTTTTAGTCCAACCCAAAGGTCAAGTAATAAAGCAAGATGGCTGCTTTAAGCATAGCCTAAAATTCCCAGCAATACGAATGGGAATCCTCACAGATATCAGGCTTACCCAGTGAGACCAGGTTGCTGTAGTTCTCCAGCATCACCTCTCTGTACAGAGTCCTTTGAGCAGGGCTCAGCAGCCTCCACTCATCCTGGGTGAAATCCACAGCCACATCCCTGAATGCCATGTGTGCCTGTAACACAAAACCGAGCCCTGCTCACTCAGAAGCCAGCCTTGCCCGTGGCTGGGTGAGGGGCAGGCAGAAGGCTGCCCTGGGGGAGGCAGGTGAGATATCAAGATCCCTGCCTTTGACAGTGACCCTGGTGCCATGTGTTCCAAGACTTTTAAATCCCTGTGTCTATCCAGCCAGTGGCATTTGTGAACCCATATAGTCAAGGTCCTGGGGGGCCACACAGGGTATATGTGCACGAAGTGGAGTCCCTACATTTTGGGAACTTTAAATCTAGGCAGACAGAAGAGCAAGCAACATATAAAATGTAAGCAATAATAAAGGACAACAGATTTTCTGAGTTTAAAGAATTTAAAAGATCAAATAATCCACTCTAACTCAGTAATTCCTCAAAATCCTACGGCTTGGCTTTCTCGGGCCTGATGGTCACAAGCAGAGAGTAGTGAAGTACTGGAATCATGGTGCCTGGGTTTCAGACCCACCTCCGTCACCAACTAGTATCCCAGTTTTCTTACCTGTGAAATGTAGAGAACAGTTCATTAAACTTCCAGACACAGACTGTGAGTGCTCACCATGGAGCTTCTTGGCCACAGTCCAAAAATTCATCTTTGCACCCTATTCTCATGCCCCTGCCCAGTTTTATTCTTTTAATTTTCTTAGCACTATTTCCAAATGGAGGACAAACTGGAATAGAGATTAGAAAGGGTTTTCTAAGACAGGGTCTGGCAACTTAGTCTTGGAGAATGGGTTGGAATCAAGGGAAGAAGAAAGTGCTAGGAACTACAGATGAGGCATGTGGGGAGCAGGGACAAGGACATTATGAGCAAAGGAAGACAAAGCCAAAATGTAGGCAGGGAGGGCTCCCTAGGAGGAATAAAAGCCACCTACTGGTAGAATCCAGAACTTTTTCATCACCTCACACTGAAACACCAACTATTAAACAATAACTTCCCATTCTTTCCTCCCCCTAGATCCTGGCAGTGACCATTTTGCTTTCTGTCTCCATTATGTATGTGGTTATTCTATGTGGCTACAATAAGTGGAATCATATATGTCCTTTTGTGTCTGACTTATTTCACTTAGCATGTCTTCAAGATTTAGCCATGTAGAAGCATGTACTCAGAATTTACTTCCTTGTTAAGGCTAAATAATACTCCATTGTGTGTATATACTACATTTTGTTTATGCATCTGTTAATAGACATTTGGTTTGTTTCTAGCTTCTGGCTATTCTTCCATGCACATGGTTGTATAAATATTTGTTGGAGTCCCTTCAGTTCTTTTGGGCATACACTCAAAAGTGGAATTACTGGATCAAACAGCAGTTCTATAGGAACCACCGTACTGTTTTCCACAGCAGCTGCACCATTTTGCATTCCCACCAGCAACGCACAAGGGTTCTATTTTCTCCACATCGTTGGCAACACTTACTGCCTTCTACTTTTGAGGTTGTTTTTTTTTTAAGTAATAGCCATACAAATGGGTATAAGGTGGTATCTCATTGTGGTCTTCATTTGTATTTTCTTAATGTGAGTGATAGTGAACATCTTTTCAGGTGCTTATTAGCCACATGTATATCTTTGCAGAAATGACTATTCAAATCCTTTGTCCATTTTTAAGCTGGAGTGTTCTTTTATTGTTGTTAAGCTGTAGGAGTTTATATATTCTAAATATTAATCCCTTGTCAGATATGTGACTTGCAAATATATTCCCTTCCTTTGATGAATGAAAGTTTTAAATTTTGATGAAGTCCAAGTTCGCTATTCTTTTCTTTTAGTGCCCATGTTTTGGTATCATTTCCAAGAAATCACCACCAAATCCAATGTTATAAAGATGTTCGCCTATGTTTTCATCTACAACTTTTATAGTTTTCACATTTATGTTTAGGTATTCGATCCATTTTCAGTTAATTTGCATATATGCTGTTAGGTAAGGGTTCAACTTCATTCTTTAGCATATAAATATACAGTTTGCCCAACAGTGTTTGTAGAGTATAGTCTTTTTCATATTGAATGGTCTTGGCACTCTTGTCAAAAATCATTTGACCATATATGCAAGGGTTTATTTCTGGGCTCTCTATTCTGTTCTGTTAGTCTATAAGTCTGTTTTTATGGCAGTACCACAGTTTGGGTTACTGTTGCTTTGTAGTAAATTCTGAAATCAGGAACTGTAAATCCTCCAACTTCGTTCTTTTTCATGATTGTTTTAGGTATTCAGTGTCAGCTGAGATTCCATATCAAGTTTAAGATGAATTTTTCTATTTCTTTAGAAAAAAATTGTTATTTTTATAGGGGATACATTGACTCTGTAGATTGGTTTGACTAGTATTATTATTTTAACATTTTAACGGCTGGGCGCAGTGGCTCACACCTGTAACCCCAGCACTTTGGGAGGCCAAGGCAGGTGGATCACCTGAGGTCAGGAGTTCAAGACCAGCCTGGCCAACGTGGTGAAACCCTGTTTCTACTAAAAATACAAAAATTAGCCAGGTGTGGTGGCAGCGCCTATAATCCCAGCTACTCGGGAGGCTGAGGCAGGATAATCGCTTGAACCTGGGGGATGGAGGTTGCAGTGAGCCACGATCGTGCCACTGCACTCCAGCCTGGGCAAAAGACCAAACTCCGTCTCAAAAAAAAAAAAAAAAAAGTTTTCCAGTCTACAAACATGTGATGTCTTTCCATTTATTTACATCTTCTTTCTTACAGCAGTATTTTGTAGTTTTCAGTGTATGTCTTTCATCTCCTTGGTTAATTCCTAAGCATTTTATTCTTTTTGATGCTATTTTAAATGAAACTGTTTTCCTCATTTTCTGTTAGGATTGTTCACTGTTAGTGCATAGATATGCAACTGATTTCTGTGTGTTGACTTCATATATTAGTTCTAATAGGTTTGTGTGTGTTTAGTCTTTAGGGTCTTCCACATTTAAGATCATACCACCTGACACTGAGATAACTTCATTTTTCCCATTCAGATGGCATTTGTTTCTTTTTCTTCCTTATTTTCTCTGGCTAACACTTGCAATACTCTGTTGGCTATAAGTGGCAAAAGTGGGCATTACTGCCTTATTGTTGATGTTGGAGCCTTCAGTCTTTCACCATAGAGTATGTTAGCTGTGAGATTTTCGTATATGGCCTTATTATATAGTGGTTTCCTTCTATTTCTAGTTATTTTCCATAAAAGGGTGCTAAATTCTGTCAAATACTTTTCTGCATTGAGATGATCATGTGGGTTTTTTTTTTGTTTCATCTGTTAATGTGATATTTTATATGCATTGATTTTTTTTCGGGGGGGGACAGAGTTTTTGCTCTTGTTGCCTAGGCTGGAGTGTAGTGGCACAATGTCAGTTCACTGCAACCTCTGCTTCCTGGGTTCAAGCAATTCTCCTGCCTCAGCCTCCTGAGTAGCTAGGATTACAGGCACGTGCCACCATTCCTGGCTAATTTTTTTGTATTTTTAGTAGGGATGTGGTTTCACCATGTTGGCCAGGCTGGTCTCGAACTCCTGACCTCAGGTGATCCACCCACCTCGGTCCCCCAAAGTGCTGGGATTACAGGCGTGAGCCACCGTGCCCAGCCATACACCCATTGATTTCTGTATGTTGAATAATCCTGCATTTCAGGAATAAACTCCACTTGGTCATGGTGTATAATTCTTTTCAAATGCTGTTGAATTCAGTTTGCTAGTATTTTGTTGAATTTTTTTGCAACAATGTTCATAAATGATGTAATTTTCTTGTAGTGTCTTTGTCTGGTTTTGGTATCAGAGTAATGCTGGCCTCACAGAATGAGTCAGGCAGTGTTCCCTCCTCTTCAGTATTTTTGGAGAACTTTGAGAAGAACTAGTGTTAGTTCTCTAAACGTTTGGCAGAATTCACCAGCAAAATCATCAGGTCCAAGAGGCCCTGATTCTTTGTCAGGATGGTTTTGATTACTGATTCAATCTCCTAATTATACACTTATTCAAAATTTTGATTTCCTCATGGTTCAGTCTTGATAGGTATTGCATTCTAATAATTTGTCCATTTCATCGAGGTCATCGATTTGTTGGCACACAATTCATAGTACTCTTGTACAATCCTTTTTACTTCTGTAGAAACAATAGTAATGTCCTCACTTTCATTTCTGATTTTAGTAATTTGAGTTTTCTTATCTTCTTAGTCAATAAAGCTAAAGGTTTGTCAATTCATTTAATCTTTTCGAAGAACCAACTTTAAGTTTTGTTGCTTTCTGCTATTATCCTTCTATTTGCTATTTTATTTGACTCTGCTCTAGTGTTTATTATTTCCTTCCTTCTGCTAGCTTTAGGTTTAGTTTGTTCTTCTTTTTCTAGTTCCCTAAGTTGTAAGATTAGGTTGTTCTTTGGAGATTTTGCTTTCTAATGTATTTCAGCTAAAAATTTCCCTCCTAGCACTTTACTTCATCTCATAAGTTTTCATGTGTTATGTTTTTGTTTTCACTTGACTCTAAGTAAGGTCTAATTTCCCTTATAGTTTCTTCCTCTACCTACTGGTTTAAGAGTATGTTCTTTAATTTTCACGTTTGTGAATTTTTAAATTTTCTTTCAGTTATTCGTTTCAAGCTCCACCTTGTTGTGGTAGAAGATACTTTTTATGATATCAGTCTTAATTTGTGGCCTAACATGTAGTCTATCCTGCAAAATGTCCCATGTGTACTTGAGAAAAACGTGCATTCTATTTTTGTTGGGTACAATGTTTGGAAAATGTCTATTATATCTATTTGATTTACGCCTTGTTCAAATCTTCTATTTCTTTACTTTTTGTCTTTCTTATTGTTCTATCCATTATTTAGAGTGGGGTACTGAAATCTCCAATTATTATTATAAAACTCTACTTCTCCCTATAATGCTGTCCATTTTTCTTTATATATTTTATGGGTCTGTTATGAGGTGTATGTGTATAATTTTTATATCTTCTTGCTGTATTAAATCTTTTGTATTAATGTCTTCCTTATCTCTTGTAACCTTTTTCAATTTAAAGTCTATTTTTTCTGGTATTAATGTAGCCACTCCTACTCTCTTTGGTTACTATTTGCATGAAACATCTTTTTCCATTCTTTTACTTTGAAACTATTTGTGCCTTTGGATATAAAGTGAGTCTCTTGTAGACAGCATACAGTTAGATCATTTTTTTTAAATCCACTATGCCAAATTGTTTTAGAGTTTAAAGCATTTATACATAAAATAATTACTCATAAGGAGGGACTGATTTCTGCTATTTTGCTTTTTGTTTTCTACATGTCTTACAGTCTTTTATTCTTCATTTCCTGTATTACTGTCCTTTTCTTTTCCTTTGTTGATTTTTTTAACGCAACTTTTAAATTCCCATCTCATTTGCATTTCTCTACATCCTACAGCTATTTTCTTTGTGGTAACCAAGGGGATTACATTTAACGTCCTAAACTTTAAAAACTCAAATTTGAACTTATCAGCTTAACTTCAATAGCATATAAAAACTGTGTTCCTATACAGCTCCATCTCCAACTCATTACTGATGTCACAAAATTATATCTTTATGCACTGTGTAGTCAAAAACATAGATTATTATTATTTTTAAATGCAGTAGTCTCCTAAGTCTCACATAGAGAACAAAAAGTGAAGTTACAAAGCACAGTTACAGTAATACAAGTTTATATTACTACCTGTGTATTAATTTTTAATGGAGAACTTAATTTTTTCATATGGCTTCATGTAACTGTCTAATATCCTTTTATTTCAACCTGAAAGACTCTTGTTAATATTTCTTGTAGGGTAGGTCTAGTGTTGTAATCTCCACCAACTTATCTGAGAATGTCTTAATTTCTGCCTCAGTAATGAAGGGCAGTTTTGCCAGATATAGAATTCTTGGTTGGCAGGCTTTTTTGTTTGTTTGTTTTCTTTTAGCACTTTGAATATATCAACCCACTGCCTTCTGGCCCGAGAGGTTTTTCATAAGAAATTTGCTAATAATCTTATTGAGGATCCCTTGTATGTAGCATTGCTTTTCTCTTGCTGCTTTCAAAAATCCCTCTGTCACCTTTGGCTTTTGGTGCTTTGATTACATTGTTTCTCAGTATGAGTCTTTTTGAGGCTTTCCCACTTGTAGTTCATTGAGCTGCTTGGATGTTTATATTCAAGTCTTTCATCAGACTAGGGAAGTTCTCCGCCATTATTTCTTCAAGCAATCTCTCTGTCCCCTTTTCCTCTTCTCCTTCTGGGAATCCCATAAGGCATAGTTGATCCACTTGATAGTATCCCATAGTTCCCTCAGGCTCTGTTTACTTTTCTTTAATCTTTTTGTCTGTGTCCCTTAGACTTGATAATTGTCCTATCTCCTGGTTTGCTGATTCTTCTGTCTGCTCAAATCCATTTCTGAATCCCTCTAATGAACTTTTATTTTTAGTTCTACTTTTTAGCTCCAAAATTTATTTTTGGTTTATTTTTATGTTTTCTGTCTGTTTATTGATATTTCCAGTTTATTCTTACATTATTTTCTTGACTTTCTCCACATCTTCCTTTAACTCTTTAAGATGGCTGTTTTAAAGTCTTTTTTTAGTAAGTCCACTATCTGGCCTTTGTCAGGGATGTTTTCAGTTTATTCATTTTTTTCCCCTTTGAATGGGTCACATTTTCCTCATTCTTTGTATGCCTTATGATTTTTGTCAAAAACTAGACATTTAAATCTTATAACACAGCAACTCTGTAAGTCAGAGTCTCCCTTCTGTTTGTATTTTCATTTTTTTTTTAATATTGATGTAGGGTGTCCCTATGCTAGGAATTAGTCTGAGGTGTAAGCTTAAGGTCTTCTCAGGTCTTTCCTGAGCCCATGCCTTTCCATGGGTATACCTTCTACATTCCCCCATATGCAGTTGCTTTTCAATATACTAGTCCTCAAATATTTGGCTCTCAAAGGGGAAAAAGAGAACTTAAGTGGGGGAAAATAGACTCTAGCTCCTTAAATCCCCTGAAAGCCACTTTAGCCAGTGGGGGTTGCAATTGGCTGAAGTAGCTTTCAGGGGATTTAAGTGGACCACCTCTGTGATCAGAAACAGCAATTAACAATTAGAACACACATCCTCAATATTTGGAGTAAAGGGTCCTTATTGTCCACCATGTCTCCCACAAGCCATGTAGAAGCTGATCCAGGAATACAGGATAGCTACCTGCCATAGGGCTGGCAGGGTGGATGATAGGTAGCTGCTACTATACTAAGAGCTAAAATTAGCTGTGACTTACCCTCTATGCTTCCTTCCATCTGGGAACTAGAGGCCTTCAACTAGACTCCGGAGTTCCAAAATAGGTATACCTGACAGATTCTGCCAGTATAATCGTATGCACTTTCCATTCCATTACTGTGATGTTACTCTCAGGCAGTAGAACTTTTGAAGCTGAACAAAGAAATGCAGACTCTATCTCAAACTGTAGAATTGTGTGTTGTTCAGTTAACTACTGGGTGAATAACTGTGTCATGGGTTGTGCAGAAAGCGATGCTGAGGCAGGGAAGCCAGTAAGTGGAATTGGAGCTGAACTCTACTAGGCACCAATAAGGCAGTCAGGGTAAGAGAAGGGAATGTGTCCGTCCTGTTACAGCCAGTAATGGAGACAGGAAACACTCACCATTCCCCTGGCTCTCCGGGACCCTGTGGCCTTTTTTCCTTGTCTCCCTAAAGAAGGATGATATCTCAGAAGGTAGATCTGGGTAAGGAAAACAGAAATGAGAGGGTGTCAGGTGGAAATGCTGTCCTCATGAGTGAAGCAGGGCCTGCTCTTTAACCCCACAACTGGGGGAGCAGTGGCATAATGGGGAACGTATAAAGCAAAGAAAAGATACTGCTTGGAAAGAGCAAAGGAAAAGAAAAACAAGCAATAGAGGGTAATCCAGGGTCTTGCAAAACAAAAGAGAAAAACAAAACAACAATAACAAAACCCCAAAGGACGCACCACCTCTCCATCCCCTGCAATCCAGTAAAGAAACTGTACCTTGCTACACTGGCAGAAGCATTTTCCTGAACTAGGGAAATCTCAAGAACACTAGAATCTGACAGTTCTGTTTACAGAAATGCAGACATGCAAACAGTTGTAGTCTATTAAAAAAATGAAAATAAGAATCTAAACAATTCAGCTAAAGAAAATTCCACCAAAAAAAAAAAATGAGACAGAAAAAAAATAAACAAAACCGTAACATTAAACTAAATTAAATATCTTCAAACAAACATTTTGGGATATGAGATATCATCATGAATTAAAAATTCAAAAACTAAGAATAGAAATGGACAAAAAAAGTAAAGAAACAAAAAGATTTCAACAAACTTTTGAAAGAAACCAAAGAAAAAGACAATATTATATGAGAAATGAAGACGAACTTATAAGACACTCAAGGAGGAATAGATTGAAATGAAAACATAATGAGCACTTAGTAATAGCCAGAAAACAAGAGAATGAAGTGAAATAAGAAGTAAAAAGGATCAGAAAGAAGCTGGATAGGAAACCAGACAAAGAAGTAATATTCATATAATTTGTTCCTAGATACCGAAACAATGGAAATATTTAAAAGTATAATGTAAGAAAACATTTTTAAAATAGATTACCTGAATCTAAATATGAAAGGGCCTAAGGGATATGAGGGAAAAGTTGACTCATAACCACCAACTCAAAGACACTAGAAAAACTATTAGACTTTAAAGAACAACAACAGGAATCCAAAGTGACTCTAAGCAAAAAATATGAGTTCTACCAGAGTTTTTGAAATTATCATTCAACCACTGCTCACTGCTGGTGGGAATGTAAAATATGGTATACCCACAAACCAGTATGGTGGTTTCTCAAAACATTTAAAATACAATTATTATGGGATTCATCCAATTCCACTTCTGGCTATATACGCAAAATAACTGAAGGCAAGGACTGGAACAGATACTTGTATGCTCATGTTTATACCAGCATTGTTCACAATAGCCAAATGGTGTAAGCAACTCAAGTGTCCACCAATGGATGAATGAATAACAAAGTGATATGTACATACAATGGAATATTATTCAGACTTAAAATGCAAGGAAATTGACACATGCTACAACATGAACCTAGAAGACATTATGCTAAGTGAAATAAACCAGAAGTAAAAGGACAGTAAGATTCCATTTATATGAGGTAACCAGAACAGTCAAATTGTGGTTCAGGAGAGGTGGTTGGGGAAAGGGAGAATGGGGAGTTATTGTTTAACGGGTATGGAGTTTCAGTTTGGGAAGATGAAAATATTTCTGGAGATAGATAGTGGTGATGGTTGTACAGCAATATGAATGTACTTCATGACATTGACTTGAACATGTTAAAATGGTAAATTTTATGTTATGTGTACTTACCACCAAAAAAAAGGTCTGGCCAAAAATCATCATTCAAAGCAAGACATGACGGGAAACTTAGCAAAAAGACTGATGAGAAGCATTTAATATACATAATTGTAAACTTAGCATGAAAAGGGGAGAAGAGAGAGGAAGAAAACATATGCTAATGGTATAGGGCAGTGTCCTGATAAGGTAGAAATGCCACTCAAATAGAAGACACAGGGGAAGAAGAAAGCAGAAAAAGGTTGCTGATCATATCATAGGCAATAGGTGGGAATTAAAAGGAATACACAAAATGAAATTATAGAATTGCTTAAAAATAATGTAATAAAAAACACTACATATATACAGGATTTATTTAAAACAGTGAGGTAAGGGAAACTATAGCCTTAAATACTTTTACAAATAGAAAGGAAAGAAAAGAATCTAGCCTGGGCAACATGGTGAGACCTCATCTCTACAAAAAATTCAAAAACATAGCCAGACATGGTGCATACACACACCCCTGTGGTCCCAGCTACTCAGGAGACCTAGGAGGGAGGATCACTTGAACCTGGGAGGTTGAGGCTGCAGCAAGCCTGATAGCATCACTGCACTCCAGTCTAGGTGACAAAGTGGGACCTTACCTCAAAAAAAAAAAAAAGAATAAATTAAATTCCAAGCTCAAAAAGCTAATAAAATAAAGTAACCCAAAAGAAAGCACAAATAACAAAGATGAAAGCATACATTAATGAACAGAAAGCAGTAGATCTAATGAGCCAAGTCCTACTTTGTCAAAAAGAGTAGACAAACACTAGCTAACTGAAAGGGAGAAAGCATAAATATTCAAAATAAGAAGTAACATGGCTGTGAGGGCGATCTGGCTGTGACATCTGTCACCACATTGATCACCAGGGTTGATTCAGCTGATCTGGCTGGCTAGGTGTATGTCCCCTTCCTCCCTCACTGCTCCATGTGCATCCCTCCGGAAGCTGCACACTTGGTCAAGGACGACGCCCATCCCTCATAGAGGAGGACCAATCTTTGGTCAAGGGTATACGAATAGCTGTGCTCCCCTGTTAGAACCTCCCAACAAGATCTCAAAATAAGAAACAACTAAGGGAAAGTCACCAAAAAACATCTTCTTAAAAGTCATGTAAGACTACTTTGCAGACCTCTATAAAAATAAATGTGTAGACCTAGATGAAGTGAATAACTCCCAAAATTAACTCCAGATGGTCACAAGGAAATTCTATCAAACCTTCAAACCAGGTAGTCCTTATGCTCCAAATACTGTCCCAAAGCACTGAAAACTAAAGGGAAAAGTCCTCATTCATTTTATAAAGCAAGGATACCATGAGGACCTTAACTTGATGACAGTTCAAAAACAGAAAAATTACAGACTAATTATCACTTACAAATATTGAAGCAAAATTCTAATTAAAATATTAGCAAAAAGACTCCAACATCGCAATAACAAAATATTTCACCATGGCAAAGAAAAATTTACCCAGGATTGCAAGACTGGTTTAATTTTAGGGGATCTATTATTATAATACATCATAATAACAGATGTAAGGAGAAGTTACGATTGTCTCTCTACATGGTAAGATACTCTTTACCAAAACTCAACACCTCTTCTTCAAAAAACAAACCAAAAACTCAAGAATATAGAGTTGATGGATTTTTAAAACTTTTTATTTTGTATTAATTTTAGACTTACAAGGAAGTTGCACAAATATCAATTCCCATGCGCTCCACCCAGTTTTCTCTAATGTTAACATCTTAGAAAACCATAGTACAATCATCAAAAGCAGGAAATTAACATTGATGCAATACTATAAACTACAGACCTTAATAATATTTTGCCAGTTTTTCCATGAATGTACTTTTTCTGGTCCAGGATCTAACTGAGGTTTTCACTTTGCCTTTAGTTGTCATGGATCTTTAACCTCCTCCAATCTGTGACAGATCCTCTGTCTTTTCTCGTCTTTCACAAACTTGGCGCTTTTGAAGAGTATCCCTCAGTTTTGGTTTGTCCGATGTTTCTTCATGATTAGAACGAGGTTTTCATTTCTGGTTAGAATACCTCAGATGTGATGCTGTGTCCTTCAGCATATCAATGAGTTCAAGATATTGTTATGTCCTTTTACTGGCGATGTTAACCTTGATCACTTGGTTAAGGAGGTGTCTTCTGAGCTTCTCCATTGTAAAGTCACTACATTTCCCTTTATAATTAATAAATATCTTGAGAGAGATACTTTGAGATTATACAAATATCCTATTTCTCTTCAAACTGTTAGCCACTAATTTTAGCATATATCTGTGGAACCTATCTGCAATAGTTATTACTGTGCTGTTTACCAAATGACAATGTTCTTTTTCCCCCTTTCATTCTAAATCCATTAATTAGAATTCTTCTGTCAGAGCTATTCTCTCTCCCCATTTGTTTGTATTCATTTATTTATTTATATCAATATGGATTTATATCTTATCCTATGGGTTATAATACAATATTATCACTGCTAATATTGCTGTTATAATTATTCCAGCTTTAAACACTGGGAGCTCTTTCACGTTGGCCTTGTTCCTGCTTTAACCAATACATTTGACACAAGTGACACTGTGCCAGTTACAGGCTTAAGTCCTAAGAAGGCCAGACAGCTTTCACTCTTGGGAGCTCTAACATACCATGTAACAAGTTCAGCCCTGCTGGAAGCTCTTACACTACCTGGAGAGAGGGAGGCCTGCTGTCCCAGCTGACCCCAGCCTTCCAGCCAACCCATGAAAATATGTGATGAAACCTATGAAAATATGTCAAATATGTGATGGAATCATCTTGCATGTTCCAACCCAAATGAGTCCCCAAATGACGGCAGCCATAGCAAGATGCATCACTTACATCTCAGCTGATCACATCCGCTTCGGGTAAACCCAAAGAACTGTGAGAGATTAAAACATAGTTGCTCTCCTAAGCCACTCAGTTTTAGAGTGGTTTGTTGTATAGCAGTCAATAACCAGAACCCTTCTCTCTTTCAGCCTACCTAATAACAGAAGCACCTTCCTGTCATCCATGGCGCTTACTCAGTCCCATGACTACTTCCTACCTTCCATATCAAACCAATTATCAAGGCTAATTGATTCCACCTCTGCCAACTCTCTCAATTCCTCCCCACCCCTTCACCAGCTGGAGCACTAGGACAATGGCAAAAGCCTCCTAACAGTCTCTGTAGACCATTTCCCAACATCCTAGTCTGCCTCATCCAATACTCCCAGAATTAGCTTTATATATACAGGTTGGATTATTCTTTCATTTGGCAAGTATTTATTAAGCTCCTACTGTGTGATAGGCACTTTTTAAATCCTGGGGATATAGAAGTGAACAAGGCAAAAACACCCTCACTGACATGAACGTCTAGAGGAGGAAGATGGACCAATTACACGAATAAATAAAATACACGATGTATCAGAAAGTGATGAATGGCATGAAGAGAAATAAAGCAGGGAAGGGGAAAGGATAGTCACAGAAGTGGGGTGAAATTTTAGAATTTTATATAGGGTGATTTGGGAAGGCATCTCTGAGGTGACTGGGTAAAAATCTCAAGGATGTGAAGAGCCAAGGGAACAACTTTGAAAAGAACATCTAGGGCAAGAGAACAGCCAGTGCAAAGACCCTGATGCAAGGAAGAGTCAGGCTGGCATGGTCAAGGGATGGACAGTTCACTGTGGCTGGTGTGGCGTGACTGAAATAGTGTGGTGCAGATGAAGTCTAAGAGTAAATGTGCGGAGATCAGACCTAGCTTTGTAAGATACTGGTTTTGACTTTGGTTAGGATGAGAAGCCATTGGAAGGTTTTGAGCAAACACATGACACGATTCGATTTACATTTAAAATATCCTTCTAGTTGCTCTACTGATTAATGTACCTTAGCAGGACACAGGCAGAAACAAAGAGACCACTCAAAGGCTATGATCATCCAGATGAGACGGTGGCCTGGACCATGATGGAAGCAGCAGGGCATGGAAATGGTCAGAGTCCAGATTTCCGTAGTGTGGATGAGGGTGTAAGAGCAAGAAAGGATCAAGGATGACTCCTTGATGACTCCAAGCAATCTGAAGGAAGGAGCTGAAATGCCCCTGCTCCAAGATAAACTCTTGAAAGAATGGTCTATATACCACCGGGGTGGAACGTGTTCAGGGAAGGTGATCAGAGTTTCTTGTTGCACACATTAGGTTTGGGATGCCCGTAAGATATCCAGGTGGGGTGGCGCACACCTGTAGTCCCAGATACTCAGGAGGCTGAGGCATGAGAACTACTTGAAGCCGGGCAGCGGAGGTTGCAGTGAGCCGAGACTGCACCACTGCACTCCAGCCTGGGCGATAGAGTGAGACTCCTGTCTCACCAAAAAAAAAAAAAAATCCAAGTGGAAATGTGAAGGAGACGGTAGGGGACCAGGATATGGAGTTGCAGGCAGAGCTCTAGGCTGAGCCTCAAACAGATAGCATTTAAAGCTTTGAGAATGAATGGGAGAACCAAGGAGAGAGTATAGCTGAAGAAGACAGGAGGTCTAAGAACTGAAGCAGGGCCTTTTCCACAGTGGAAATTTGGGAGAGAAGGAAGAGCCAGCAAAGGAGACAGAGGAGGAGCAGCCTATGAGTTTGGAGGAAAACCAGGAAGACCTAGTGCCAAGAGCAACTGTATGAAAGGTTATATTAAGGAGGAGGATGTAAACAACTACATCAAATGTTGCTGAGAACTGATGGTGGCCTGATTGTGACAGGGAGAACACTGGTAACCCTGACAACAATATTTGTTGATGTCACTTGAAAAAGCCTTACTAGAATATTCAAAAGATAACAGAAGGATAGCAATGGAGACAATAAACATAGATAATTCTTTCAAGGAGTTCAGCTCTACATGGGAGGAAAGACAAGGCAAGAAGGTGAAGAAGAGACAGGAAGCTAGGGCAGGGCAGAAATGGAGACAAAGGGAAAGAAAAGGAATCGAGAAGAATGCACAGGTGGAATGGGAGGATACAACTTTTTAAATTTTGTTTTGAGATGGAGTCTTGCTCTGTTGTCCAGGCGACAGATTCTCCTGCCTCAGCCTCCTGAATAGCTGGGATTACTGGTGTGCGCCACCGCGCCTGGCTAATTTTTGTACTTTTCGTAGAGCTGGAGTTTCACCATGTTGGCCAGGCTGGTCTCGAACTCCTGACCTCAGGTGATCTGCCTGCCCTGGCCTCCCAAAGTGCTGGGATTACAGGTATGAGCCACCGTGCCCGTCCAGGAGGATACAACTTCTAATGGGAAGTAAGTTTGGAAACGAGGATGCAAGGAAAACTCAGAGGTATAGCTTAGCTTATATCAAGTTATAAAGCTGTCAGTACAGATCAGCAAGATCAGAAGTAGGAGGAGAAATGAGGCAGAGATAGGGAAAACTGGGATGCTGTTTCCAGATACTTTTCCCTCTCCTGCCACTGACCAGGGCTGTTCTGACTGGTGGAAAAAAAGATTTTTTTTTTTTTTAACAATGGGGGAAAACTTAATATGAGCTAGATATTAAATGATATCAATAAGTTATTAATTTTGTTGGGTATAACAAAATAAACTGTAACAATGTAACTGTATAACAATGAAATTGTGGTTATGTTAAAAAAAAAAGAAGTCCTTATGTGTTAGAGATGCCTCCTGAAGTATTCTCAGGTGAAATGATATAACTGGGATTTGCTGCCAACACTCTAGCAGGGAAAAGAGTAAGTGAGAGTATTGGAAGACAGAAGAACGGAATGTTGACAACTTCACAGCATCTGACAAGCCCTGGGAATGAGCAGTCTGAACAAATACTGAAAGAAGGAATGTAGGGGAAGAATACAGGTGTAATGAATGAGAGCATCAGCTCTGAAAAATATTCCCTGTGAAAATGATCACTGTTAAAACAAGCCTAGTTTCCTGAAGGAACCAGCTGGGGCCCTGATCCCTGGATGGGACACTCTAGAACACAGATGTCAAAGCTAGGCAAAGGAAACCCACTCATAGTTCGAAATGCAAAAGGTAAGTGGCACCCACCTGAAGCTGGGCTCACAAGAGCTCAGGAGTACCCCCTTTCCCCAGCAGGCAGTCCTCTCTGGGCAGACAGGAGCCACAGGGAGGCAGAACAAGAACAAAAAGCGATCAAGAAAATCAAGGGAAATCCTCAAACTCCAGTAGGGCAGCGCCTCCTCTTCCTTAGCGGCATCAGGAATGAACCTGCCACAGAAGAAAAGGAGAAAAGAATTGTGGGCAGCTTCCTGGAAACACAGCTGGGATACAGGCTGAAAGTACAACCTGCCCTAACATGCTATTGATGCTGAGCATGCGGTGACCTCTGTGCCTGTTATTAAAGAAAGGTAATATTCACTGAGGTCTTAGTATAAGCCAGAGACTGTTACAGCCACTGTAGGAGTTTCACCTCATTCTATCAACAACCCAATGAGATAGATGCTATTATCCTCTTTAGGTTAAATCGAGAAAATTAAGATACAGTGAAGTCAGCCTCTTGCCCAAGGTGACACAGCTATAAAGTGACAGAGCCCAGAGGAAATGTGGCTGTGGAGACCCTGCTCTTACACAGTAAGGGCGGTGACGGTGAACTCTGTGGGTTGCAAGGATTCTCTGTGTCCGTTCTGAGATGAATCAAGATTGGTCATAAGGTGTTAAGTGTTGAATCTGCGTGATGGAGATCTGGTCTATACAGTTCTATCTACTTCTGGCTGTTCGAAATTTCTCCGCAATAAAAACTTAAATGGAATGTAAAATCCCAAAGCCTGACCACACCAGGGGCCTGGGAATCCGTAATTCTTGCGATCAGTGACGGTCCCTGGGACCTTTGGAAAAAACCTGTCCTGTGGGTCCCAGCCAGACTTCCTCCTCCAAGGCCTGAATCCGGGGGCGACCAACCCAAGTGAAACCCTAAGATCGCGGCAAAATGGTCACCCCAGATCCAGTCTAACCCTGGCTTGTTTGGTCAAACCAGACCGCTCCTCATTCCACTCCAGCAAAGCCGAAGAACAGTGGGGCCCCAAGAGACTAGCCCTCAACCGACCAAAGCCTGGGGGACACATGGCCCCAGGGATGGTCCCCGCTCCGCCACCTGGGAAATACCAGCTCCGTTAAAAGCTTATTTATTCAACTCCCCCAAAACCGGGGACTTATGGCATGAGCGAGAGACCCCCTTTCCCGATTTCAGCCAAAGTCGAACCAGTCCCCACCCACGAGAACCCTAGGAGAGATAGCCCGATCCCCCACCCATCACCATCCAGTTTCTCGGATGGGCTTCACCCAACTCCCCCGGAGATGCACGCCCACACCCCCAAAATAAGACATCTGGGAGAGAACGGCCTGCGCCACGCCAGCGCGTTCCCACCACAATCACCACCCCCGCGCCACCCGCACGGTCCCCAAATTCAGCCCATAGTCCAGCCTTTCGGGACATTCCTTTCCGGGCAGAAAAGGGTACGGCTGCGGCAAGGGTCCCGCGGGAGCCTCACTCACCAGCGCCACCAAAGAACAAGGGGTCGCTCCAGCCACCAGCTGGGGAGCTTCTCCAGCGGGGCGCCAGGACTACACTACCCCGAATCCTCGGCACCGCGCCCGGACCACACCTCCCAGGATGCTCGGCGCCACCAGGCGCGCCCTGACGGCCGGCAGCTCCCATTGGCCTCTGACGGATCCGTTTCTGAGTAACACGCTCCGGTCACTGGAGAATGGCCGCTGTGGCACCTGAATTCTCCCTCTTTTTTCTTAACCACGTGCATAAAACACGTAGAAACTCCCAAGAAAAGTGCCTGGCCCTACTGTGACCCTCCCTCTGAGCGCCTCTGCTGGAAAACTACACTTCCCAGTGACCCCTGGAGCGACTTCCGCACCCGGTGCCGGCCCCGCCCCTTGGCGCGCGGAAATGAGGTTTCGGGGCGCATCTGTTTTCGGCTTCTGGGGTTGGTCGTGGTGTACAGCTGGGTGACCGAGCTTCTTCAGGTGCTGGTTCGTGTTGCAGCGTTCTCTGGTCTCCCTGGCTCCAGCCGCCCGCTTGGAAAGTCACGCCCCATATTCTTAAGTACCGGGTGAACGTCATCTCGTGTACACTTTAGCTCCATTTAAAGCCTTGGAAAGGCGGAGCAGTTTTTCCGAAGTCTCACATCCGGTTCGAGGTAGACCCGATTCTGAGCCCACGCCCTCAACCCAAATACACCTTTTCCGGTGCCCTGAGACCTTTTTCTTCTTTTTGAAATCTACGAAGTTATGGGCAAACTCTCATCTCCTGGGAAACAGAAGCCTCATTCTTAGGCCAGAGCTTGGCCTGCCGTCCGCTTAAATCTCTAGGTCTTTGTCCGGGATCCTGGTTGAGAACAGGACTGCGCTGGTGCCATCTGGGATGCCCCATCTGGAGAGCTCGAGGGGAAGGCCCACTTCACTCTTGAGAGGGCTTTTCCACGCGTGCACCCTCTCACTGCTCTTCACCTTCCTCAGATAGGCTTTCTGAAACTTAGTCATTCTCTGGGAAGACCAAGGAAATGACCAAGATCTGAAGGACCAGGGAGATGAGAATTTCCTAAAATTCTTTTTTAGTTCTCAGAGGATGAATCCATTCCCTTCTCGTATCCCGAGGCTACATGATTTATTGTGAATGCAGTTCAGTCCTGGCTCCGGAGACATGTCCAGTGTTAATTGGATTCGTCCCTCAACATCATTCTCTGCCTCACTCATGAGTCAGTCATCACCAAGAAATTAGTTGTTAATACACATAAAGGTTCAGAACAACAATGCAGGGACGCCCGTGGTCAAGTGTTCACTTGTGCTGGCTGTACAATAAAGACACAAATGGCTGACATCTCTTAAGCCTGGAAATGAAGACTTACAGGATGTGCTGCCTGAGGAATTAGGCAAGATGACAAGTTGGAAGAACACAGACGAGTAAGGAAGAGTGTGGGAAGTGTGGACAGAATCTCAGGGTCTGAGCCACTGGGCGGACTGTCATGACCAAAGTGAGATTTTCGGTAGCACATGGTCTTGCATCCAGCTGATTTGCGTATAGACAAGGATGCCATCGGGATGTCCACCTCTGTCATACAGATACTTGGTGTGTCCAGCCTGCCTCCTGTTTCATCCTTGAAAGACCTCAGCATTTAATAATTAGGAATTTCTGTCTAGAAATCTGGATTGCCTGCTTTCTGAGACAGTCCTTGCTGCCATGTCCTCTTTTTCTCCTGGCACTTCCCACCACTCCATGCCATACCTCATCTGGAATACCCTTAGCTCCTCTGAATCCATCCTGTCCTTCAAGACCAAATACCCAGTTCTGTTTCATGAAACCTTCCCTGATCACTATCCTATAGTGACTTCTTGAGACTTGAGACTCTGCTAACCCTGGCTGTACTTGGGAGCTTTTCAAAATACAGTGCCTGAACACCACCCCAATAAATGAGTTTGCAGTGGAGCCTGGGCATCCATTATTCATAACAGAGCTGCTTTCTTCTTAAGAAGGGAATATATTGTGTAATAATGTAGAAGAGAGATCTTGTTTTGGAAAATCAGAAGTTTAGTTATTGGTTAGTTGTCACTATTTCTGAACCATATACCTCAGTAGATCATTTAACACAGTGCTCTCAAAAACATGTCACTTGGGATCTTGTAAGCAGCAAATTCTGAATCAGCATGCCTGATGGAGCCCAAGCATCAACATTTCTAGTAAGCTTCCAGATGATGCTGGTACTGCTTGTCCTCAGACCAGACTGGGTAACAGAGCTTTAACCCAATCAGAGGCTCAGATCCTTAAATTGAATATAAGCAGCTAGATTAAAGAATCTCCAAATTCCTAAATCTCAGAAAGATAATGATTCTATACTTATGTTTTGTTTTAATATGTTGTCTGTTAAATTTAAAGCACCTCAAGGTTAGGAATTGTGTTTTCATTTGTAAACCCCATAGTAGCCAGACTAGGATCTCAACAAATGATGCTGATTGAATAGTAAACAGGGTTAATGGTCCTGGAATCCAAACTCCAGAGTTACAGTCAAAAGCAGGATCTAGATATTTTACTTATCTTCCCCAAGCAGCCCTCTTGCTCCCTTGTTTTCAACATGGGCACATGTGTCAACAGAGTGAGCAGAGCTGTGTTTGGCATAATGGGTTTTCATGGTATTCAAGGTTTTGGCTGTGGATTTCATCTAAGAGGTATGAAGGTTGTGGAGTCCTACTCAAGGACCTGTACTGGGAGATGGTGCTGGAAAACTATAGCAGTCTGGTCTCACTAGGTGATAATGGCTTCTCTTACAGTTTAAAATCTGACCCACTGAGCAGCTTAAATCCCTTATGCAGAAAAGGCAGTGCATGGAGCAGCTGCCAGATATAGCTGACTTTAGCCTTTTGAACTTGAAAACAAAGACAGGTTATTCATGTTTCCCCAGGGAAGGTCACGTTTGTTTGTTTTGATATAGTTGAGAATGGGTAGATAGGGGTGTGTGTGTGTCGCTCTTGAAAATTTGCTTTGTCTTTGCTTCTCAGTAGTTTGACATTGATGTGTCTAAATCATTTATTGTTGTTAGGTATTAATCCAGTTTGAGGTTTACTGAGATTCTCTAATCTGTTAACCAATGTTTTTCATTAAATTTAGGAACTTTAGCTGTCATATCTTTAAATAATTCTCAGTTTCTTCTCATTTTGGATAATTCTCAATTTTAAAATTTAATTCTTTCTCAATTTCTTCTTTTGAGTCTCCACTTACACATATGTTAGACCATTTGATATTGTTCCTGAAACTCTATCCAATCTTCAGTATGTTTTTCTGTTTGACAGATTAGTTTCTATTGACCTGTCTTCAGGTTCACTGAACCTTCCTTTTGCCATCTTCAATCTTTTAAGCCCATCTAGCAAATTTTAAATTTTTATTTATTACGTTTTTAGTTCTAGAATTCCCACTTGTTTCTTTTTAAAATAATTTCCACTGAGATTTCCACCCCCATTTGTTTCTTTGTGATGCATGTATTTTTCTTTAGTATGTTTATACTAGCTTCTGTAAAGTCTATGTGCTGAAACCTCTGGACCATCTCAGGATCTATTTGTGTGACTGCATTTTTTTCTTAACAGACTTCCTGTTTTTCTGCATGTCTAGTAATTTTAAAGTTTTTTATGCTGGACATTTTTTGTGGCATGATTCTAAATTCTCTTATGTTCGTCTGAAAGTGCTTTTTATACCTGTAGTCAGTTTAATTACTGGATGAATGTTTTGAACTTGTACAGGCTTCATTTTATTCTTTGTTAGGTTAGATCTTTGAAAGGTCAAAGTGTTTACCAGGCCCCTCTAACTCACAGGACTCAAACTCCAAGTTCTTTGACCCATGCAGATATTTTTAACGTCCTTATTTTAGTTCCAATTACAGTGTATCTAGAGAAGATCTTACTATAGGATGTGGTCCTTATTTTATGGCATGGCCTCTCTAGTTTCTCAGCTGAATGATTGAGGTGTTAATGAGGTTTGTTTATTCTGATTGGGCCGGAATGCCTACACTCACCAGCCCTGCTAAACTTCTAGTATTTCCATTCTTCTCTCAAGCAGCTGTTTTCTGGTAATCATTGCATATTTGCCCTGCATAAGCAAAGCTCAACTTCAGCTGAGGTGGGCTTTCCCCACTTTGCACAGCTGCCTCCTTTCTGAGACCTGCACTACCAATGTCATCTGCTTCACCATCCCCAAAGTCTTTTTTGCCTCCTCATCTCAGTAAAACCAGTATGCCTTGCCCCCACCATCCTGTATCATGGTCAGGAAATTGTCCCCAAGCAGTTAGCCAGGGCAAATGTAGAACTCATTTTCTGAATTTCCCATCTCTCAGGGATCACAATTTTGTGCAACCTATAGTCCAGGGCCTGAAAATAGTTGCTTTGTACTTTCTCCAGTGTTATGGTTATTTATAATGGGAATAATCATCTGATATGAGTTATTCCATCATGGCCAGCAGAACAAGTTAATTTGATAACTACTGTAAGTCACAAAATTTATATTTATTTTTCTGACTATCCTAGATCTAGGACAAATCCTAATGAAGGCAGCTAATTTGTTATAATCAATAAGACCACAGTTACATAAGGAAATTTAACTGATTGTTGGGTTGGTAGCCCTTTCTCTGAAATACTAGTGAGGTACCTTTTATTAGACTATCTGACAAAAAAATCAGCTGCAAGTTTAATAAGGTTCATCAATTTATGTTTCTGCTTACCTCACAGAAATATACCTCAAAGGTTAATGATATTCAGTAACCAGTTTTGAAGTAAAATAAAATTAGCTTAAAGGGTTAAAAAATTTTAAGGTATGTGATTGGTATTACTATTCTTGGAAATACAACATGAATATTTCAACTACAAGGTCTTTTACCTTTTCTGTAAAGATATGTTGTTCTGATGATTATGGGACATAATTAATTATACTCTTTATATTCAGTTAGTTAATTGGTGTCCTTGTGCTGGTTGAATAATTACACTTTTAAATTGTAACCTCAGGCATATTTTGTGACATCAGCTCCCTGCCATCTGAGAAATACACTTAAAGAATGTACCAAATTTACTCTGGTTGTACCCTTCCTTGCTTGAGGTATTCATGTCAAGGTATGATTACCACACAATGTCAGTCTTGGAAAGAAGGAGTCTGCCCCGAGAAATGATTTTATGTCAATATTTGATTTAGTGTATCTACACTCCCTAGTGAGATCTCAAATGACCTAATTCTTTCTCATCAATGTGCCTGTTGAAATGCAGACTTCTCAGGAGTAGCTGGAGATATTGATTTTTATTGTTTTGTGTGCGAGTTTCTCCCTTGGTTCTGAG